GGAAAAAAAATACTGGAATTGAATACTTCTAGTTGAATAAAGATTTGTTTAATTGCTAGAGACTGAAGTGTGTAACAAGGTCAGCATTGTGGTAGGCATGATAATGGGAGTTAATGCCTACCTATATGCGAGTTAATGCCTACCTATATACGAGTGAATGCCTACTTACACCCGAGTCCCTGTTGCTGCCCATGCGCAGATGCGGACGGAGCTCTACTTCCTTTCATCTCAGAAGAATCGGCCCAGCCTCTTCGGGATGCCGCTGATCGTCCCTTGCACCGTTCACACACGGAAAAAAGACCTGTACGACGCGGTGTGGATCCAGGTCTCCCGGCTCGCCAGCCCGCTGCCTCCGCAGGAAGCCAGCAACCATGCCCAGGACTGGTGAGTGCCTGCCAGCCTCGGGCTGCCATCACCCTTGCTTGGGTTCCTTTAGAAGACTTCAAAAATCATCATTCATCTTTATCCATTTTATGTCCTGAAACTACCTCCATGGAATGAGTGTCTGTTTTTTAATATATAATTAGGACTTAAATGTCAACAATTTTAGGAACAATTATGTCTGCTTTTATTGCAGATGTTTTCTGCCTTCATATCCCATCTAGGGGGTTATTTTTGTAGGAAGTCATTTAAAAGTCCTGTGATTTAATAATGACAATGAGAGGGAGTATAGTAGCTTTGTGAAAATAGCATGTTTTCAGATAGCTTTTAAATGAGACTGCACTTTAGGAAGTGTCTTCCATATATTTAATTCTCTTATAAAACTGTTTAAAATGTTCACACTTTGGGGTGCAGGGAGGTGCATTTCTCCCATGGAATTCTGCTTTGCAGCTGGTGATTCTGATGCTGAATCTGACTGCTGCTGTCTCCATAGCTGCTCACAGTTGTATTTTCTAGGGCTTAGTACTGAACAGTATGTAAATCCCCATTGGAAACACTTCAGATGTTCTTGTTCTGTTACATTTCTGTCATTGTCAGACCCAATCCAAGTTAATACAGTGTGGGCTTAAATGACAGTTTCTTAATGATTTAATTAAATAGACTGAAAGAGTCACCTTTATCTGGGGACGTGTCAGTGTGTATGTATGAGAGCTGCCCTTTAACACATTTTTCTTATTGTACCACTTAGAGAAGAGCTTGTGATAAAACTCCTATTTTCTTGCTGTTATCTCTACTAAATAACTCTTGTATCTTTAATATAGTGATTTAATGTCTTAATTTGTTTCACTATATAAAGCAATTTCAGTGGCCAGTTTCTAACTGGATGTACTGCTATGGCACTGTGAAAGTCTGACTATTGCTTAATTGATTTGTGTTAATTGATTTGTACATCCCCCAGCATATGTCAGGAAAACTATTGATGCTGCTATTGATGCTTACGTGAGATCTGTTATCTCCAAAAGATCTTTAAAAATATACTTGAGTTTTCCTTTCTCTCTAGTTGTATTATTATATTCATAAATAGTGAAGAAGTATTGATAGTAGTATGAATCTGATTGTTGCATTTTTTAAAGGTAGTTTAATAGTTTAAAGACTATCCTGCTGAGTAGACTTAAAAAATGCTATGATGTACATGTTTGGATTTAGATAACATAAAGGCAGATCTTGTTTTATTTTTTTATTTTTTTTTTTGAGAAGGGTAGTGTCTTGGTAAACAGCAGAGGTGGTGAAGTGTGGTCAAAAGGAAATGGAAGTCTGGATCAGTGCCTGTGCTTCATGCTGTACTCTCTTCTGTTTCAGTGATGATAGCATGGGATATCAGTATCCCTTCACCCTGAGGGTAGTCCAGAAGGATGGAAACTCCTGTGCTTGGTGTCCATGGTACAGGTAAATTGTCCTTTTTATTTTAGGCACAGGAGTCACTTCCGCAGAAATGTAATTTATGATAAGGGGTTTTGATACATTTCAGAGTTCAGTGGTAATAACAATGAGAGTCTAGAATCTAATTTAACTAGCACCCCCCATGGCAGCCCTGCGCTGCAGAGTTGCTTTTATGACTTGAAGAGCTGAAAACTCTGTTGACAGACAGCATTAAATTAGGGATCAGATGATCCAAAACCTCTTAACCCCTTCCAGTCTTCCCTGTTCCAGTGTGTAAGCGTACAGGGATGTGTTTGTATGTATTTAGATGATCTCTGAGGGGGTTAGACAGCAGACTAGTCTGTGTGTAAATCATTTACCATTAGCAGTTCCTGTGCTATTTGAAAAGTGAAAACTAAAATGGACCATAGGTGTTTGCCCTGGGAACAGCCTTGGAAGTTTTTCTAAACAAGGGACATGCTAATGAAAATCCCAGGCTGTTGCTGGAAGGTTCTGAGACCACACGCTCGTTCCAAGAGGGTGTCTGCTACAGCTAGATAGCACAGAGCCGTGTCCTGAAACGAAACGAGGAGCAGAACTGGGCTGTGAATTAATGTAGGTCTGAGTGGTTGCACAGTTTATCACACCTAACTTTTTCTTTTAGATTTTGTCGTGGTTGTAAAATCGAGTGCACGGAAGATAGAGCTTGTGTTGGGAATGCCTATATTGCTGTAGACTGGGATCCAACCGCACTCCACCTACGCTACCAGACATCACAGGAGCGGGTAAAATTACAGCCTTAAGCCTGCAGGGCTTGTTTGAATGTTAAAAGCTGTGAAACACATCCCATTTTACCAAGAACAAGTTTGGAAGATACTGTCTTTTCTTCAGTTCTTGTTTATTATTAAAGTAAAGGCAGTAGTCATTGAAGAAAATATTCTGAATAAATCTGTATCATAATTTTAGACCTCCTACATGTCTATAACATGAAAGCGAATCTTTAAAGAAACCACAGGTGTGCATATTCTGGCTGTTCTGAATTGCTTTTGCAATTTTGCAGTTGCTCTCTACAATATAGTAGAACATGTTAATATGTTACTCTTTCAAAGGACACCACTGCTACAAGTAGTTATGTGTAAGTAAATATAGTCGCTTCACTGAGTCTACAGAACAGAAATAAAGGTAAGTGCCCACTGAGTTAATCTGGAAGAACTACTGCAATTTGAGTTCAGTCCATAAACTAAACCAAGGACAACACATTATCTGTATATCTGCATTTTCATAGTTGAAATAAAATATTTTGCATCTTTAATCCTAAATAACTGTGTGATGTATTTCTTCTATGTTACTTTATATACAGCCATTCTTTGAGCAGTTTGTATGTGTTTCCAGTCAGTTTAATCTCACCTTTTTAGATTGTAGAAGAACATGAAAGCGTGGAGCAGAGCCGCCGAGCTCAGGCAGAGCCCATCAATCTGGACAGCTGCCTGAGAGCCTTCACCAGCGAGGAGGAGCTGGGCGAGGACGAGATGTACTACTGCTCCAAATGCAAGACGCATTGTTTGGCCACCAAAAAACTGGATCTTTGGAGGCTTCCCCCTATTTTGGTATGATCTTGTGCACTTTTCCTCTACAAAGTGTGAAACAAAGTACATTAGTCACAGATTTTGAATTGCTAGGTATGGTCTCCTTTTTCTTACTAAATAAGGCTTATATTACTTCTGTTCAGTGTCTTGACCAACACTATTTGCATCATGCATTTCTGTAATGCAGGCAGATAAAGCAAACCCCAAATCCTTGTGCACATTTTCCGGCGCTGTTGCAGCCATTTACTGTATTTTACATTCACTTTTGTCTTCTCTAACACAGAATTCACACTTCAATAGAGTGCCTTGGTAACAGTCTTAATCTTTGGTCTAGTTATATAAGATCTGTGTGTGTCGCCTTTCAGTGTGGTAGGTGCTACATAGCACTGGTGTCTGAAATGAAGCCAGCTTCCCCTGAAAAAATTAATTTCCATATTTTATCAACTTATACCCAAAATCCAAATGCCCAGATAGTGTTAATACTTATTAATGTATGATACAACATATATATTTCCAGAACCAAAATGCCTTTTAACAGTGAAATTAGATCATTGTGGTGTAATAGTTCTCCTTTGACTCTTTCTAATGTGTTTCTCCTTAGATCATCCATCTGAAAAGATTTCAATTTGTAAACGGCCGCTGGATAAAATCTCAGAAAATTGTTAAGTTTCCTCGAGAAAATTTTGACCCAAGTGCCTTTTTGGTACAAAGGGATCCGAGTCATTTTCAAAGGAAACAGCCAGCTGCCCACGCTGACGACCTGCCTGATGCACGGCCTCTCCAAGGGGAGTCTAGAAAAGGAGATCTGCAGATCTCTTACACAGCAAGCGAAGGGGACGTGCTGAACAGGAGTCCCTCTTCCCTTAACACTACTAATGTCTTGAATAATATCAAAGGTAAGTACTAATTAGGGAAAATAGCACATTTGAGCAAGTGCTGGTATTTGGGGGAAAGAAAACATTCTTAGTTAGCACTGTGTTGGCTAAAGCATTAAATTTCCCCCGCTGTTTGTCATGGGAGGTTTAATGAAGCATTACCACCAAGAAATGTAGTTACTCAGTGATATTATTGGTACTGGCATTGTCTGTTCACATAAATGGACCAGATTAAGAATGAGGAACGTGGTTCTGCATAAGAAAAGTTAAATTTCAGGTTGTAAGTGTGCGTGTGGGCACACACAGACAGTTCTATTTTTATATGTTATTTTTAAGTTCCAGTGGAACAGTGGATTTTTAGTATTTGGTTATTAAAAGAAATCTTTAATTAAAAAATCTAGACTATGTATTTACTTATCTTTCAAGTTCATATTTGTCTTCTGTTCTAGCATCTCCATCTTTGGGAAGGAAAAGTGGAACCAGCTGTCCTTCAAGTAAAAACAGTAGCCCCAATAGTAGCCCAAGGACTTTGGGAAGAGGTAAAGGGCGCCTGCGGCTACCACAGCTAGGGAAAAACAAACTGTCAAATAGCAAAGAAAATCTGGATGCAAGTAAAGAGAATGGCACTGACCAGGAGCAGAAATACACCCCTGAGCAAGGAGATGCTCTTACTCGAGGGCAGATTTTGGGTGGTAGCCAGAGTGAACTCTACACTGCTCAGGACACAGAGGTGACTTTAGCCAACGGGTACATCTGTGAGCAGAACACATACAGTAATGGAAGTATCAACGGTCAAATTGATAACCACAGCGAGGACGACACTGCAGATGACCAAAGAGAAGAAGTTTGTGTTAACCCTATTTACAATCTATATGCAATTTCGGTAAGCTAACATTTTAAATGCTTTAGAGTGGCATCATTTTGACTAAATGTTACTGTTTCCATTACAAAAAGCAGAGATTAAAAAGGCTGTGAAGCACAACACAGTCGGTCAAAATTGAAAGGCGCTTTCAGGTTGTCTGTTCTCTCTTGCGGTTATCAAGCAGGACCTTTCTGTGCACAAACATTTGAATTATTTTTAGGTTTTTTGAGATGGGAAAGAGGAAAACAAAAACAAAACAAAAAAAACAGAATCTGGCAGTAAAGGAAAATGATAAAGGCTTAAAGAGATGTGAGGGAGGACTGGCTTCGGAGTGGCTCAGTTGAGCTGCTGGGGCCAGCGCGCACGCAATGGTTTTGTCCTAACTGGTGGTTAACCAACCCATGTGGTTGGTTTTAAGAATGTCTGTAACATTTGGGCATCTTTGGCAAGTGTAGGTTGTCGGGAGCCACTGTCACTCTTAGGAAGAATGTGGATTTGTTACATTATTCTCTGTGAATTCTGTCTGATGTTTGATCCCCAATTTTTTCTTTTTCTTCAGTGCCATTCAGGAATTATGGGAGGGGGTCATTATGTTACTTATGCCAAAAACCCAAACAACAAGTGGTACTGCTACAATGACAGCAGCTGTAAGGTAAATGTTTTATTTTTGTAATAAATGGTTGTGTTTTCCTTGGGTGCCTAGAATCAAAAAATATCCATAGTTTTAAAGAATGATGCTCAAAAAACATTTATCTCAAAATATGTATCAGATGAATATTAGAATTGTGACCTGAAATTGCACATGATTTTTTTTCATGTTAGTACATGTTCATCAGCTGCTAACATGGGTAAGGAAAGATGCTGATTTTGCACAAAGGTAGAAAAGCTCTAAAAATGCAAGTTCAAGAACATTTTTTCATTATGCTGGCTGTTTTGTATTCAATTATTGAATAATGAAGTTTCAGTATTTCTAATTGCATTTGTCACTGTAATTTTGTTACGCTCCTCAAGCAAATAGTGGGGCCTGGTAACTCTAACAAGGGAGACTGAGAAAACGTGATTCCTCTCGCCAAAGGCTGCCCTGGAAGAAGGGCTCTTTGGGGGGCTCTTTGGGGGGCTCTTTGGGGGGCTCTTTAGGGGCTGTTTCGGTGCCCGCGTTGCGGGTCGGTGGCGCTCGTCCCGCTGCCCGTCTCAGGAGTGGCTCCTGTTTTGCAGGAATTGCATCCCGACGAGATCGACACCGACTCTGCCTACATTCTTTTCTACGAGCAGCAGGGGGTAGACTATGCACAATTTCTGCCAAAGATAGACGGCAAGAAGATGGCAGACACGAGCAGCATGGATGAAGATTTTGAGTCCGATTATAAGAAGTACTGTGTCCTGCAGTGAGCGGGTGCCTGTCTGGAGAGGGCTCGAGGGATCACGCGCCGAAACGAACGCTGGGCGACAGCGGCACTGCGAGAGCGAAGCTAAGTGTAGTTATTGTACCTGGGATACGAAAGCACAAAAAGAAAACCCTAATTAAATAGCAGTTAATATAAAGATAGCGTTGTTTTGTTCTGTTATCTCACTACATGCTCGAAACATTTCTGATGTTGGACATCAGGCTGAAACTGCCATTGGCCTTTAAATGAAATGGTTTGAGAAAGCCGACTAGGACCAAATAAGAGCTAAATTAAATAGTCCAAATAAGAGCTAAACAAAGTAGCGTAGAGTTTACCGATTCATCTAACAAAATCCTAAGGTTGTCCTCTAGATTTAAGATAATGGGGAAAAAAAGTTGTAGTGTTGTCTTTGGACAACATGATATTGCTACCTCCTTTTTCCTGCAGTTTTATTGCATTTTATTGGCAAAACAAGGAAAGCAAGAGTATGAAAAGTGCACAAATTTCAAGACTGAACATGAAGAGGTGGAAGTGTTTCCAGTTTTGCCATCACTAATGTGTGTCAATTGCTTTTTTCTCTGTGTGTTGGGAGCACAACCAAATCATAATTTGAGAGGAGATTAATTTCTACACTTGAATGGTTTTATTATAATTGTTTTCTCCACGCGGTGGCTGTGCAAATCAACCTATTTCAGGAATAGCTTTTCAGCCCGGGGAAGTTTTATCTCACTCAAGATAGAAACTTCAGGTTGAAGAGAGTAGCTGTGGTTCTACGCATGGTGTCTTAAAATGTGCACATTGCACAGAGGGTGCCCAGCTTTTGGAAGGAAAGATGCTTGAGCTTACGTTTCGTGACTGGTGTTGCTTTTAAATTTGCACTTTTAAAAATTCACATAATTAAATTCAAAAACATTGTTTTTGTTGTTGTAAGGGCTCTGAAGTGAATGGCTGTGAATTATCCACTGTGTATTTCAAACAGATAAGAAGCTGTGGCCGTCAGGTAGCTATCGTAGCATTCATGGATGGTTTTTTATTATTATTGATTTCATAATTTAATAGGGCTTTTTTTTTTTTTCAAATTTGGTTTGCCTTTCTTGCAACAGGTTATGCATATACTTGCAATCAAAACAGAATTGTCCATGTCCTTGCAAAATGCTCTTTTTAGTCAGCAGGGTAGATGTATGAAGGAAAAGCATGACTGAGTCTCTGCAGAAACTGAGGGAAAAGATGTTTATTTTTGAGTAGGCATTTCTTTAAATTTCAGTGTTAAATTTTTGGCATATCTGAATCAAGATAAATGATTCGCTCTTTCAACCTTTTGTTCTTCAGCTGAGTCTTAGAAGCTTTTACTAATTTTATCAAGACATCTTCCAAATTCTTTAGAATTTGTATCTTCACTAACAAAACTTATGGCTTAAAATGCTGATCTCTGATGTTTGGCTTCCTTTCCATGTGCTTTACAGCAATGCCAAGCCCACCTGCAAGTGTATAAATTTCCAGAAAGATCTGGGTTTTATCTGGTCAGGGAATTGCATGGGCCGCTCCTGCTGCCTGTGCCCGGGCAGCGGC